GGGGGGGGGGGGGGGGGAGGCAACACAATTTTGTGCTTGGGGCCCCGCACTACTTAAATCCGGCCCTGGGATGTGTAATTTGCTACCGAATGTTTTACCGTGAAATATCTTCAAAAATATTTTCGGATTGAAATCTCCTCACATTCAATGGAGGTTGGGTCCTCATTGGGGTCCTCTGGTGCCCTGCACCGGTTGCAGCAGCCTATCCTCGTCTCTGGGCGCCCCACTTCGACCCGATTTACACGCTTCCTTTTGACTTTTGAAATTCAAAACATTATCAAAGGCGCGCATGCGCAGACTGGTCTCTGTTCTGCAATTCGGGAATCAGAAGCAACAGTGCGTATTCGCGAGTTCACTAAAACTGAAATGGGCAGCATTTTTAAATATTACTTAATTTATTCAAAATTAGTAGTACATGTTGATCGCACCAAAAGTATTATCCCAGATACGAATGTCATATATGTGAATCATAATGCCATAATGTCGAATATATGCGAGTCATTTCAATTGGCTAAAAACACCCAAGCTTGTTCCCTGTAATAAGCAATAAATCATTCCTTTACCGTCCCGTCCTCAAAAGCATAGATTCCTGTAGAATGTGGTTTTATTAATTTTTAAATTTCGTCGTAGCTTCTATATCACAGGAATTTTACGCGCAATTTCAAGACTCGAAGCGCCGTTCTAGATTAATTTGTGTCAGTTCTGAAGCGCGAGGGCACTGGCATTTCGATGGACAGCTGTCGAGCTAAGATCTAACGCTCTAAAATTGGGCACCATAGCAGTTACTTGAAATCCTCTGAACTGCGTGACCTGTCGAACATATGCGCATACGGGTTGCTTAAAAACCAGGGGAAAATGCACCCGTATAAACGACCCTAACTGCGTTTAATGAGATTTTTCAATGCATCTTGAATGGCAAAAAGTGAACATTTCTGAGCACTACAAACCCTAGAAGATATTAATTCCGTCTGTCTCTCCCTCTCTGTATATAGAATGTCCAGCGAGGAAACGGCGTAATTTCGAAAATAAGCATATTTTGTCTAATAAACTCATTAGATATTCCGAATGGCTGAGACACAATAAGCACTCAAAAGTTAGTTTGAAAGAATACTTTCTGTGCTTTTGCAAATTTTTATTTGCATTGAAGCAAAAATTTGCATATAAACACTCCAGAAACATGGAAATGATTTATTAATTACAAAAGAAATAAATATATTTTTCTTTGTGAACAAATATAATTTCTTATGAAAATAAACAATTTACATGTTTCTGGAGTGTTTATATGTTTCTTCAATACAAAGTTTTGCATAGAAATTCTTTTTTTCAACCTACCTTTTGAATGCTTATTGCGGCTCAACTATTCGGAATATCCAAGGAATTTATTGAAAAAAACCTGCTTAAAATTGTTTTAAGAGCTTATTTTGGAAGTTCCGATGTTTCCTCCCTGGTCTTTTCGAAAGAAAGAAAACAAAAAAAAGTCTTTTAATTCTGTTTTCTGTACGTTAGCATCACCCAGAAACAAATTTCAGGTCATTCTAAAACGGGAAACCATGCAGCCTTGATTTTGAACAAGTTCGTACAAGTCACGATAAACAAGAAGCACATGCCACACAATTATTTATTACGTCACAAGTTTTGTGTAATTAACATGAATTATTTTGCTTCCAAGGATTGAAAGACAAATTACAATCCGCTTTAGTCATTGATGTAAAACTTCAGAAAACAGGGACAAACTTTTCTTCAACTCTATAGGTTCTAGCAATTATATTTAATTCATGAAATTAAATTAATAGTGATCGAAAGAGCAAATCCTGTGGTTCTTGAAAGTATTATCTTCTGAGAAAAGGCCAGCATATCTACAAGGTCGTTACCAAAATGTATTAAAAAATCTGTCTATAACATTGTAGTTAGGGTAAGATGCCGAAACAAAATTTTGAAGTTTGGCAATTAAAAAAATAAATAAAAAAAGTGGGTTAATGAGCTCCATGCCCCTTGGGTGTAACACTGAATGCAAGTTGAAATCCCTACTGGGTTGATTGTGCTGGGAAAATTCTGTGACTGTTACGATATTTTTTCAGTCTTAACATGCTTTCTGCAAGCTTTACTACACACCACTTACAAGGAAAGTATTCTACATTATCAAAACTAATAGACTTAAAAATGTTTGTTCATGACAGTGTTCTATGGATTGTTAATGAATCCGAAAGGCAAAATTAAACTGAAAACTCATAGGCAAATTACAGTTTTTATTAGTAACCCATTCTCTTCTTCCAAAAAATGAGAATTAACTTGTACAAGTGTGATATGTGAAGATTAAATTCTGGCACAGAAATGTTTATTATCAACATCAACAGAAATTCAATTTTTAATGTGCTTAATATTATATCTGAAAAACCACTTGTGGATTCAGAGGGTGGGGTGGGGTATAGGGCCATGCTCCCTTCCCCACAAGGCTTAGAGTTCCTTAATTAACACAATTGATTGAACTAACTTGGAATTATGTCATTATTTAAGCAATAATATTGTATAGTATCATGTCTACAGTACATAAATAATATGCAATATAATTACAAATACGTTTATTATACAACAAAAATCTGAAATGGCCCTACTCCAAAATGATCGGCTGTATCCACCCCTGCTGTAAACAATATGGTAAAAATAAGTGTATAACATACATAAACATGCAGAACATTTAGTGTATTCCTGCATTAACATACTCATAGATGTGTGCACTCTAAAACACTCCAATAGGCCACTAAATTTCTGGAGTACTTTGTCCATTAATTTTGATGTTCATACGAGATGTTTTGCTAGTCAATAAATAAAACATAAGGGGATATAAATTACAACTTAAATGATATAATTAAGAAAATACAATTTATTTTTTATTGCATTATTTACAGGGTTGCCAGATGGCTTGGATTGTCCCTGAATCGTCAGGTAAGAAACAGGGAAAACAGGACTTGAACATATCTACAGCAAATAAAATGTTTTAGTACACAAGGCTACACCCTATCAAAATTTTCAGGGAAGCTTTGGCACCCGCCCTTCTGCACACACCTGTGGATATTAATATTTATTGAATGATACTGTTAGCACAAACTAACAATATGTCATTTTTTAAAACTTGCATCTTTGTGAAAATTAAATTTTGCCTGCACATCCTTTTGGATTCATTGATAATTCATGGAATATTGCCATGAACACTCATATTTTAAGTCAATCAGCACTGCCTTATAAAATACGTTCCTTCTCTGTTGAAAAATACAAAATCTAATATGATCCATTCACTGATTTTTACTATTTAAACTTTTGATTATCTTGGACTCTTTGGTATCCACTGGAAATTGTTTAGAAAGTATGTAAATAAAATCTCTTCATTGAACAATGGTTGTATGCCGGCCTAGTTAGGCAAGGTCGCTAAGGCTGAAGGGCTGGGAAGGATGTTTGCGTGGGTCCGTGTACAATATGCGAGATCATTTACCCTTACCCCCAAAGTTCAAAAATCAATGGTTTACGTAATGGTCACTGTATGACCTAATTGTTAAGAAGTAACCTTTAATAATAATAATAATAATAATAATAATAATAAATACATAAAAAGGATAGGCATTTCTTAAATAATGAAAACTACAAATGACACAGTCTCCTAATACCAAAACAAATGATTATTATTATTATTTAAAATGAATGTCTGTTTTTTTCTATTACTCTTCTTTCACTTATTCTATATATTAAAATATATGTAATTTATGCCAAATACAATAATTGTTACAAATTATTATCAATTTTTCATTTTTCTTCACAAATTCATTTAAGATTTAAAAAAATGAGGAACCACCAAACACTCAAAATGAAGGAAAGCTCTTTAAGAGATTATTTGAAAGGAGTTTGATCATTTTCCAAACAACTAGCACAAAAAATTTGTATTTGGGATCTAGATAAAAGAAAAATGAAATCAAAAGTTAGTGCTTGTTGCCTCTCTAGAAAGGTATCCAAAACATATTCCAATTGCGAAACCAAAGAAAACTCTTGAAATTGGAATTGTAAGAAGAGAAAATATTTCCTCAAACAGGTTCATCTGGATGGGAAATGTCTAATTTGAAGTTTTGAAGAATGTCTAGTTTCAAAGTGAGTTACAACTATTATATACAAGTAACGTTTGTTACAGATAAAGCCATTACATCACTTTGGTGAAAAGAATACCTGCTTAAAATAATTCTTTTGAATATAATAATAGGGCCTATTTTTTAAAAAAAAAGTTATAAACACAAATGTCAACTATTACATCTACTACTTAGTAAGACTGGACCAAAATAAGAGGCAAAGGTTTAAAACATGGGACGAATGGAAAGCTATATTTGAAAATGTAAAAGCCTTTGACAGAATCATTAACTGAAGTACAAAGTACATTAGCATTTTCAAAGACTGAAAGGAAACGTCAATGATTATGAGAGCATATTTCCTATTTCAAGATCTTTTCTATTCTAAACAATGATAAAGGAGCTTTATTCATTGATTGACATTTAAGTGTACATTCAATACTTTCAATCATTAATATTGTCACTTTGATGAAGCAGGATATTAACAGGTTACCTTTGTGAACAAATATAATATATAAAATACATAATATCTGTACATATTCGGGCCATGCAAATGACCTACATTAATATATTTCCAAACAAAATTCAGAAAATGCAAAACACATTTATAAGAGGAAGAACACAGAGTTAATTTTCACTTACTATCTCTTTTGAGTGAAGCAATAATATAGAAAACTATAAGAAATCAGTAACCAAATAACAGATATTAGAATAATTTTGTGTTACTAAATAAAGAGAGAGAAAAAAAAACAACACTAAATTATAGAAAACACTATTTTATTGAAAATTTGAATACAGAAAAAGATAATATTTTTCTGATCAGAAAGAATACAAAACGTAGTCTGAACAGGAGGTTTTACATGTTTAACTTGTCATTCTTATTTAAACACCAATTAAAAAGCAATCACATACTTTTACATATATTATCACTGTAATATCACTGACATACACTGGCATTAGGCAAAGTTAAGAAACACTTCCTTTACAGGAATATTCACAGCCCAAATCAATTCATTCATGAAAACCAACTTTGCCTGTTTCTTACTCTTAACGGTCAGTCCTAGTAACCAAAGAAATGGAAATAAATAAATTGCAATACTTATGTTATTCACATTGCAAAGCTAAAAAATAAATATAAATCATTCAGAACAGTAACAAAAATATAACTATAAATGCATTAGATAAATGATGCTGATATTAATACATCAATGAATGTTACCCAGCAGCAGTTTTAATAATGTGATGTCTTCTCTATTATACATTGAAAAAGCTGAGGCACATAAATATGTTAAAGTAAGGCCAACAGATAAGCGCACAAGAATTTAGGCAACAGAGTCACCTGATCCTAAAATGACTCACCGCAATCAGTGTATCAACATCTCTTTAGGCATTTTGATTATGAAAACAATAACATTACCTTTGTCAGTAACAATAGAAGATATACAATATTTTTAAAAAAAGAATCAGGCCACTGTTGAATACTGCTTTACTCTTCTCACAAATGCATAACAAAGAAACTTAATAAATACACAAGGTTGAAATGCAATAAAGATTCTACAAATTTATGAAAACAATATAAATAGTATCTTTACCAAATGTCTTGATAGTACAAAAATAGATTTTACTTTCTGGAAGAATTGTCCAACTTGCTTGTTAGTCAAAATATTAATACAATATATAGCTCACAGAAACAGCATATTTGAAGCACTTTGTGTAGTTCCCAAATCACTGATCATTTCTTCATCAACGTCCAATATGATTATGAGCATCAAATAATGTTGTATCCTCATCATCATCATCCGCTCCCAGAGGCGTCATTTCCACATCATCAGCATTTGCTATGAGTCCATACTTTCTAATTCTCATCTTTTTTCTTCTCAACCTGAAAAGAAAAGAAAAAAAAAACATCATAATTATTTTTAAAGTACTGCAAGACATTTCCTGCGGTATATTTTAAAATTTGAGATTTAATGCAGTCATAAAAGTTATTTGATTTTTAATTGTTGTATTACTTTTAAACATTCAATTTTACATATGAAATTAAATTTGTATTTGTAAAGGTGAAGAACTAAATTGTCTAGTTTAATATATATTGTATGACCGGCACTAAAATGACTTCATGAAAAATTCAAAGGGAATCATCCTACCACAAACAGTTAACCCAATTAATTAAAATTCATTTAATTTTTATGCTATCAACATTAAATTAAAATTAGCAGGTAAATTAATTTCAATACACACGGTCCGCCATTATTAAAGTGGCCAAAGCACCTAAACTGTCTTCAGATATCTAAGCATATATAAGTGGATGAAGACCAGTACAAGAAACCGATACCAGTTTACATTTAATTGTGGGGCAGTTGTATGTAACACTTCTGTCAAAAATGTGGGGCAGTGAAAAAACAGATTCTTTACAGGCTTGATATTATGTAACTATTCTTCTGAATTAGAATGATAAATACATTTAAAATAAAACACATGAAAGCATAAAAATACTAAAATGTGTCGTTTTCATGGCACAACATAACAAAAGAAAGGGGTTATCCACTTTGAGACTTTCAAAACATTTTTTAAAAAAGTTTTAGTTATTTTTTGACATTTCTCTTTCTAGTATGGTCAAATACCTCTAGAAGGCAGTAAATCAATCAATAACTCATTGTGGTATTAATTTTTAGAACGACTGATGTAAACTTCATTCAAAATGAGTTACTGGAAACTTGAGTGCATAAGGCAATTAAGAAACTATTCTAACAACTAATGAATTTTACCAACAATGTTCAAGTTATAATATCTTAAAATCAATTCAAAATTTACAATGTCAAATCACAAACTTACCTAATAAGTTTAACAGCAATATAAAGCATCACAACAGCACTTAAGCCAACAAATACATACAATCCCCTGAGAGCTGCACCTGTTGGGGTTCTAGAAAACAAACCATTTAAAGGACCATTTTCTGTACTTTTTGGTTTTTCTTCAGTCTTTGTTTCTGTAGGTTCGCCCGTATTATTTACTACTACTATTAATGAACCATTACTAACAGCAATTTCTACATTTGACGTAGAATTCGGTGATAAGGTGGTGTTGTCCAATGCTTTATTATTTGAATGTAATACTGGACTAACCGCAGAAGGGGCAGGCTCAACAGCCCTTCTCAACAGGCGACTTGCACCCACATTAGTAGAAAGAAAACAGAAGAGCACAACACAAAGCTTCAGCATTTCGAGTTTCTTGTAGGCTTTGCGACTCGATACGTTGAAATTCGATGTCTTCACCTAAACTTCAAAATACTTGTTACATTCGTCCTACACCATCATTCTGACCGATTCTGAATGAATCTACGTTATTATCACTGCCCCGTCATTGCGACGTTTTGTTCCTTGACGTGTAGGTTATTCTCTATCCTCTTCCCTCACGTTATGCACCGCCTTCTGTCCGCTTTCAGGTCAGGCATCTTTCCGATATAGCTTCCGATCGTCAAGTGTGAACAGAATTATGTCAAAGTTAGAAAGGGTAAACAATAATCCTATAAAAGTCATTAAAGGTCACTTATTGATCTGCAAGGAAGCGCGTATTTCTAATTTTTATTTGAAACCAAGTTTTATATAATCTTCTCGGATCACTTCTAATTGAGGTAATACATAACCCAAAAGAGGCCTTTTGAAAGGTTCTGTAGCCCAACACAGCTCCATTAATTCCCAACATTTATCATCAAAAGAGGGTAATCTTTCAGGTCTAATACCACGACGAACACTTGTCCATAGTTGTTCCTTGTTCTGAAACCTTTCAAAAGTATATGGTATCTTTACATGTCCTGCACACAAGTACCAAAACAAAATACCAAAAGCATATACATCTACACTACTATTGTAATGTCCAGACAGCAATTCAGGAGCCATATGAATAGGTGTTCCAACAATACTCCCAGACATCATTGCTTCAGGAATGCAAAATCCAAAATCCGTTATTTTTGCTCTATTGCTGGAATCCAACAAAACGTTTTTTAACTTAATGTCACGATGTACCAAGCCTTGAGAATGAATAAATCGAAGGCCTTCTGCAACATCGATAGCAATCTGCAACCTCTCCAACCACGTTAAACCAGAACGGATTCCACTGTACAAGTCACGAGACAATCTATCCATAACCAAAAGAACAGAGGGCATAACTCCTTCCCCATACGTAATGTCCACAACAGAACCTCTTATTTGCACAATGTGTCGATGTTCAGGGATTCGTCTGGTGCAAAAAAATTCCATTGCTAAATCATTCCAGTGCTTATCATCTGGAGGAACAACAGATTTAACAGCACATGGTCCAACACCACCCCATGATTCACACATAAACACTACTCCATACTGACCACGACCTAACTCTTTCCCTAATTTTGGAAGTCCATAACGTATCATATCACAAACAGACATACTTTCTAATGCTAACCTTGCTAATTTTGGAGCATGGTATTTACGAATGGCTACTCTCTGTTCTTCAGTTCTTTCAAGATAACTAGAATAATGATCTTCCAAAGACACAATTGCTAATCTAAATGCTTCATGAGATGCTTTAACTTTCTCTCGGAATTGAGTTGTTATTGTCTTTGCTAACTGAGAAGCATTGAGAGAATCTAGCATTTCTGATGCAACATGTTTTCTCCATGAAGCATCAAGACATGGAGGCGATGTCCATGGGAGCTGAAGGGAATGCAATAACTTTCTCAAACGATCCAGAAATGAATGTAAGAAACTTGATGACGACGTTGCATTCAGCTTCAAGTTATAGGCTGCACTAAGAGTTTGTTTCAAAGCAACACTAGCAAGAAAATTGCCATCATAATTTTGACAGTTTCTTTCCAAACTTTCCAAACACCTCTGTAAAGTACCAAAGTAAATTTCTTGAAAGCAATGCACTGACATCACTAATTGTGAAGTTACAGCAGAACTAAGCTCACTAAGTACTAAGTTATGAATTTCTGATGTTGCTACTCTCACTTCTTCACGAGTTCTCACTTTGGCTGTATCAGAGACTGTTACTCCTGAATAAGAATAATTATGTACCTTCTCCATTAAATCATTTCTCATGTCAGTCACAGTGGTTTCAATCAATTTTCTTATTTCTTGTTGTTTTTGACTTGCAGTCATAATTAAATTTCTGAAAAGTTCTGCTTCTTTCTCTTGAGCATACTGGATTCTCAAAGGTGTAATTTGAATTTCCCGAGCCATGTCATATGCAGATAATATAAACTGCTGTAGACATTGACTAATAACATCGCTCAGAATATTCGCAGCTTCAATCAAGTACGACTGGAAACAGCGTCTTATAAATGTAATCATATAATCAAGTTTACTCAAGGATTCTATAAAATCAGTCCTACACGAGTGTTCTTCACAATGTGTGTGTGTTACTGGTGACCCTTTCTTTGGACTGTGTAATGGCAAATAGCCAAGACTGGTCAGCTGATGAAACAAAGCTAGCAACTGTCTGTCAGTTGATTTTCTAGGGCTGCTTCTATCACAAAGCGTATCTCTAAACAATTCATGTCCAGAGAAATATTTAGGAACATCCTTTTGAATATTTTCCATCAACACTTTGTCGTTCTTTTCCAATTCTTTTGGAGGCCAACAACCTAATGTTCTGATAAAAATAACTGGAAAGTCTGGACAATGTTCTTTTAATTCTCTTAGCTCTTCAATATTTTCTTCTGTCAACAATTCTTCACCAAAAGCAAAAATTAATATTGGCAATAATTTTGATAATTCACACTGTAGAATGTTATAAAAATTTGATGGAATAAATGAAGTTCCATCAGGAGGTGTAATTATTTTTACTCTGTCTCTTAGTAAAGGATGAGAAAGTTGAATTTCCAGTACTGTTGGATGTTCAGATGAAGCTTCTGATGCATTTGGAATTTTAAAATATTTTTCTGAAACTGTGACTCCCAGAGAATCAACACTTTTGTCAGTAATACCAGCAAAACCATCACATGTTGTAATAGTGTTTGCAAGACCATAACTTATCTGTATCCATTGCTGACATTCAGAGCTAGAAGGTAAGAGAGTTTCATTTAAAAGTGAATTTATTACCACAGATCTTGCTTGGAAATTATGGCCCAATACAATCAAAGCAGGGTCACAATCAAGAATACCTTCCAACTTCTTTACTATTCTAGCATTAAGAACTTGATCTTGGAAGTTCTCTCCACAATAAACATTAGTTTCATTTATTTCACTTAAAATGTGTTGTGTTTCACGTAATATCTGCTTTAGATGATGACAATTTCTACTAAATTTCCTGAATTCTTGGGCAAGACTTGCATTCATTTCTTGCGTATGCTTGTTATGCATTTTTAAACATCACAGAATTTTTTTATAGCCAAAAGTAGTTTATAACATATAAAAATACCAGTTTTAATGTTAATACGTTAATATAAGATTGGTTGTTGGCACGATAGGTAAATGCAGTTATCAAAATTAGGTTATATAACAGGATCGCCTATCATTTTACAGGAAGCAATAGTTGGGGTCCCATATCTTCATTTTTTGGCGTTTAATGTAATATTCATGTTATTATCTTCGCATTATACACGCAACTGCAGATTATTCACGGTTCACATCCCAATCGTCGTAACTGACACACATCGAGAGCAAAGTTGTAATAAAATATAACTCCAGAATACTAAGCAGTGAAACGGTAATATTTCTCATCAACACTTTTTTAAAATAAAACATTATTTTCTTCGCCTTCAAGTTATGTCATATGAAACATTCTACATCACAACATTCATCACTGCAGACTCACAATATACTCTTTGGACTGTCAAATCCAAGAGCTCTCCTCCTGGACAAACCCCAACCAAAACACAGCTGATGTATTTAATGTTGGCAGCATATTGACACTTAACAGCGATTGCCACCTTCACTAATAATCTTTCTTTCAATTTGCAAGTTCAACTCAAAAGTAATAAAAGTTTCGTAGCAATTCAATTGAAACGAAAAATACAAAACATCATTAATGAATCATGAACGAACTATTTCGCGAGATGTAAATTTGAACGATCTATTTCCGCAGGCAATTCTTAATTTGTATCATGAAGCAAATTTGGGAACTCCAGCACCATCAAAATATAGGACACGTGTCGACATTCACGCGCATTTCTAAAACATTTCATGGATTGTCACAAAATAAAACGAGCTGATGCAAGCTGTTAGTTCTCTAATGTTCTAGGAGCTTTTACGGCTCGTGCCCTGTTCGTTCACATACCTTCAGTTGGCAAATGTGTGAATGTGTTTGTAATTCGTCATCGACAATTTGGTTCGCCAAATTATCAAGTATTTACTTCCTCCCGATTACATTAAAAATAGAAATAAATACTTTTCAAACAATTTTTTCATGTAAAAAATTTAAAAAATATATAAAATTGAATTAAGTGACAATTAACATCATTATTGAATATAAACGTGCCAATTATTAGTACTAAGTTACGAATTATAGCCAAAAGCGAAGATTGTAATCAAGATATCTTGTCAATTTTCGTCCAAACTAGTCGGGATCTTGTAAGAGAAATATGATGCAATTCTAATCTGAGATATAATAATTAGATAAATATATCACGTAGCCTACTTTTCAATCGTTCAGATAGTACTCGTAGAATCGAATATAGCGAATCAGAGGCGACGGCTAGAGCGACCATTAGTCAGTTTGCTAGGATCGTTTCCGATATTTGGGATTCGCTCCCATCTAATTGAGTCCTGGCCCGTGTTTAGAATATTTTATGAAACTATTGGGAATCGACAGTACATAGTACTTTTTCGCATTGTTTCTAAATTTGCAATTTCCTAAAAATTAAAGAGTTCACCAAAAATGAGAACTGTTCTCTCATTCTTTTAAGAGTTACTTGTTTTCTCTGTGGGGAAAAGTACTAATAAAATACAAAACAAATTGAGCGGATTTTGAGAAAATGTGTTTTTCGTACATTGCATAAATTTTAATACCAAATTACGGAAAAACTACTCGATTTTTCAAGAAAATGTTCATGACTTTTTTTAAGAGTTGAATTTTTTGAACAGATTTTGTTTGATACAAAAATTCTTCAACTTACTAGTTTTGAAATGTTAATTTTTTCAATTTTCGAAAATCGCCAGTTAACCGGACATTAGACTAGCATATTTTTTTATCATCTTTCGATACATTAAGAGAAAATTTAAAGAAAAAAAATTGACGCTGTTTTGGAGAAAATAATCGGTTTAAAATGTCTATGTTTCACTCATAATTACGCGAAAACGACTCATATTTTCGAAAAATTGATCGTGACATTACTTTATGAACTTTCTTTAAAGAACAGATTCCACACAATTTTTATATATATTAATATATGTATATACTCAAGTTTGTATTATTAGGAAGACACCGAAAAAATTGAACTTTAACAATAAAACAAAAAAGAGATTTCAACGAAAATTATACCTGCACTATTCTCTTCGAAGAAAAAGTTGAATTACAAAATTTGGAGGATTTTAGAGAATATCTTGAAAATGCTGATGAGGCTTTATGTAAAGGACCTCTAAAAATCAACAATATCCATTTCAATTTCCGTTTCAATCCGTGCCTGGCAATAAGAATTTTTCTGTCGAAAATTCGCAGTTTTCCGGTGCACGAATGCAATACAAGTACATTCTCTGCTTACGAAAAGTAAGAAAGTAAAATATTCGTATATTACAAATTACAACTATAGTGGTGCTTTAGAATGGTACAGATTTCCTCTTACCATTAGTTTCCTCAACATTTTTCGGTTTTGTTCCACCATCTTCTCAGCTGTCATCTATTGGTATATCTAAAACACAAATTCTCATGTATTATCAATTTGTCGAATCCCTAACAATACAGTTAAATTATATTTATAGAAGAGTAAACTGTGGCTCTATATGCAAATTTCTGTTGAATTTGGAGCCAATTATGAGAAAATATTGTTTGAGCTTATCTGAAAATGCTTATCTTAGGTCTCATTTTCATTCCAAACTTTTCGAAAGTTTTCAAGAACCTTTATAAGAAATTTTTGGAGCAAAAACACTCACAAATGCGATAATATATAAGAAATGTATATCATGTAAATATGAACGCATTGATGAGGCATTAAAAAATCAATTGTCTAATATTAAACTAGTGGTGGAGTTACAACTGCACAAACTTTCTTACATTATTTCTAAATTTGCCATTTTCGAAAATTCAGGGAGGTCAACAAGCGCCATTCTTTAAAGAGTTCCTTGTTCCTATACGTGAAAACAATATGGAGTGGTTTTTGAGAAAATGTTCTTTTATAAATTTCACCCAACCACATTTTGAGCACAAATTACGCAAAAGCTACTAGTTTTTTTTTAAAAAACAACAACAAACAAAAACGTACATGGCTTTTTCTAAGGAGCAGATATTTTATAATATATTTTGTTTAAGGCAAAAATCTCTATCTTTATTTCTCTAGTTTGGAAATGTTAACATTTTAATATTTTCGAATGTGAAGAGTTCGCCGTAAGATAGAATAGCACTCTTTTTAACGTTTTCGGTATTATGTTCGTAAGAAGAGGAAGTATTGTATTCATGCAATCGGGAAGTTTCCACACAAAAACATCTTATTGCCGGGCCCTGTTAACGAAAAAGGGGATTAATCTGGTTCCTATGTAATATAAATTACTTTTTCTAAAACGTTGTATAGTCAGAATCCATGTTTTGTGTGCCCTTGATACCGAAAAATCGATTGACAGCAGTATGTCAGTCTTGTCAAACTTTTCGTCCGTCTATGGTCACCAATTTTCTCCACAATCGATGTTCTCCAATTGATCGGCTGATGTGGCCCCTTTAATTTGAAACCGATGTTTTAATATTTGGGGAGTCTTTACATGAAGCCCCTGTAACATTTTCAAAATTTCCTAAAAACAGTCGCCAAAATTTTTATTAATCTTTGTTGACGGATAGCTTAAGAAAATAGTGAAGACATCATTTTCGTTAAAATCTCTGATTTTTCGAGAATTCGAGAAGTTTAATTTTACTTTTTCATATACGTAAGTTTGTACGGAGAAATAAACGTAGTATAAAAAAGTTACGTAATGCTGCGGGAAATCGATTTCGAAATTTGAACGTAAATACACGTTTCGGGGTCCCCTGCTAGTGAAACAATTTTTTTTCCTTCAAAACTCCGTCCGTCCGTCCGTCCGTCGCCGAAAACGTTTGGTTCTGCAGAATCGCGATACTAGAGAAAGTCTGTGCCATTTTGTAGCACCACTAGTTTTCAGCGTCATCCTACAAATACAATAGGAATTTATTCCTTAACGACATCTGCTTTTTAAAGACAGATTTTGAAATAAAATCACGCACAATGTTTTTGAAAATATAAGTAGTTTTCCCACAATTGTGCTGGAATGAAGGCAATTTTCATTCTGTGTACATTTTGTGGGCGCAGGCTGAGCCTCGGTCGGCGGGTTCGACTCCCGCTGTGAGCGTGATTGCTTGCCCCTTGTCTTCCGTGTGTGTTGTTGCTTAAGGCTTTGAGTCCCCTGAGCCCAGAATGAGGAGCTTGTCAGTGTTTAGTGCAAAGGTTAATATGTGTCCCCATGAGTGACATAACGGGTATCCGGAGCGGATAATCGAAATCGGCATCCTCTCAAGCTGGAAAAGGGCCTCCGAAGAAAAAAAAAATCAATGAGCGTTAAAACAACTACGCTACGCTATGACAAATTTAAAGACAGCAGTCTTTAAAAATTGTTTTTAATGTTCTATAATATCTATGATAGAAACAAAATTCTCACCTCCCAGCATGAAGTTTGCATTGTTACATCGGGTACCAATTAAATACACTTAAAAAGTTTGCCAAAATAAAAATTGTTAATCCCTAGTAAATTCTGACGGTGACAGTATTCTAAAGGTATAAAATAAGAATAATGAAAATTGTACTGTAAATTAAAACCCAAACCTGTAGAATAAAACACAAACTATCAAAGAAAGGAAATTTCTTATTATCTTAGTTGAAGCTCCAAATTTCAAATTTGAACTATGTAGTTCTGAATGAGGTTTTCTGAAGTAAAAACCATTGTTGTTGACACATTGCCGGCCAAATTACTTTGAATTTAGCGCCTTGTTTTCTTTAACAGGGTGTTTGATGTTCGTTGAAGGCGTTTCAGAGGAAAATATTATACATTTTAAACTTGGCGTCTCCGAGATAGTCTTCATTTTCTCCAAAAAGCATCGCGAATTTCTTCTCTGCCGACCAAACATTCATTTCAACATGCAAGATCCTTGGAATCGATTGTCAACTTCTTTCTATTAGTTCGGAGCGCCACCGAAAGATCGCACCAGCTCCTGGATAGCTCCCACTAAAAATTGGCATTGCCGAAAACCAGGAGTTTTCTATCGCAAACGCCTGCTCGCCTTGTCACGACAAGCTAATGTGGAAAGCTGAGTAAAAGCGTTTTGAACGTCTTCAAGGTTCGACCCAGATTGTGCCAGGCCTTGGATGTAGTAGATACACGTAGCAAAAGGCCACGGAATTCGTAAGGAAAGGGTCAGTTTTCGTTTGGACAGAGGTAACTGAGACTTCTTCAATACTCGTTAAATATCTCTCCAAGTAACAATCCATGTCAGTTGTGTGTCATCACTTTTCCAGAACACTCTTGTCCGACAAAAACTACTAAGATAGAAGAGGCAATGTTTCGTTGCGTTTCCATCAAAATAATCTCCCAACTTTTCTTCGACAATTTCGCCGCCAAAACACTATTATTCATTTTCATTACAAGACCAGCATCAAATGAAATATTTCAATTACGTTTTAAAACTATATTTAATAATTTCATAAACCTACCACTATTATCCTAATCATAAATAATATATACAATC